CCCCCCCCCCCAGTGTCCTGGTGGGTGTCCCCACATGGGCATGGGGACTCTCAGCGTGGAGGACTGGCCCTGCAGAATGGCCTTAGGCCTGTCTTTGGTGGCGGTAGAGAATTTGTTTTGGTAAATTGTTTTCATATGTCCACGTTCTGCACATGTGAACATCTGCTTTTCAGATGCAAACGGATTAAATTGCTGTATTTATAATTAAAGAAAACACTGYGGAGATGCATTTTTCAGCTCGGGAAATGTCAAGTTGATGGGCCGGGAATCACAAAGCTGTATTCTTTCAGTTGTCACCCGACTGGAGCGAAGGTGATTTAGCTGTTAAATCTTTTTTGACAGCTATCTTTTGAATGGAGATGCTTCTTGAATCTGTGAAAGAACCTGGAGGAATGCAGGTGCTTCTTGYTGCTTATGTGGAAACCTAAAAACCTGCTTGCTGATGCTAACTTTTCCTACAGATYTGTTCTGTTACATAAGATAGCAGAAAAGTAGGTGTTTGTTGCTGCATCAGATTCAAAAGAGAAAAGTCTTTTGATCTTTCTTTAATAAATAGGAGATTGGTTGCAGAACAAAAATATTTATCTTAGATGTTGCTCTCAGCAGATTTCCCCCTCTTGTGAGAGACGGGGGCGAAAGCGAGCCAGGCGTTGAGACCTGCACCGTTTCCAGGGTGTTTCCTCCCACCCTGTGCTGAGTGAAGCTGTTCGTCTTGAGGATYGGTGACAGCGTCACTCGTCTTGTTTCCATGAGAATTGTAGGATTGACGTGGAACCACAAAGCAGCTCGAGGGAGCCCTCGCACTGCAAAATGAAACCTTCCTGGCTCTGCTGAAGGTTGAGTAAAACATCCTAGGAAATGGCATTTCCAGAGTGGATAAATCCTGTCCTGTGCTCTCAGGACTCTGGRATGCTTGTCCGTAGACAGTGACTGGCCATCTCTGAAGTAAATGCATYTTAAAATATTGATGCTGGATGAAAAGCTGAACCCTAAAAGCATGTATTACTTAAAAGCATAATGTTTACCTAGGATAGATTATGATGAATTATGTTTCCACATTTGAAGATAAGGAAAGGTCAGGTATGCAGAGAATACTAATGGTGACTTGGGGGTGGGACGAGCTCAATGGGAAAGATTGCTTACGAAGGAATCCAGCAACCTACTTGGAAATGTCTCCTTTTTTTCTCCTGGATGTTCTTTGCTTCCTAAGTGTCTCCAAGGTGTGGAGCGGTGTATGAGAATGTGAGAATGGAGACCTCGTTCCAGGGACAGGCTGGGGCTGGCGGCGCGGATGTTTCGTGTCTGCTTGCCCTGTTCTCTTGTTGTTGTTTCCTGGAGAGGGAGAGGAGGAGGTTACGGCCTTGGTGGCCAGGGCAGACCCTGTGGTGATGGACAGTGCTCATGAGAGCGGGAGGGAGGGGAGGGCAGAGCCTTTCCTGCTTTTCCCCATCAGCAGCAGCTCCAGCAGAGCCTGTTTGCAGTCCTGTTGCCTGCCCTCTCCTCCATCCTTGAGGTGGGAGCGGGAGGCAGGAGGTGACCCCAGGATTTGTTCCTCTTCCCTGTTGTTCTGCCTCCCGCCCGTGGTGGTCAGGGATGAGCAGGTGGCCGCCCTGGTCCTTGGCCCCAGCCACCTGCCTCCTCTGTGTCCCCAGCACTGGCTGCTTCCCGGGAGCTGTGGGAGCAGAGCCCTTGGTTTGGAGGCCATCCTGCCTTCCTCAGCTGCAGGACCTACACRCGCTGTTGCTCTGCTGGTGGTTCCTTGTCGCCTCTTTTTGCGTGGTGACCTGCAGCATCCCGCTCCCAGTATTTTGTCACACTGGGCTGGCCCCATATCCTGGTTCCCCCAGCCCTCCAAGAAGTGTCTGCGAGTGCCTGCACCTCTTCCTTGACACAGGAGCCACTGCTTTTTGTTTTGTTCTGTTTTTACAGAAGCTTCACTTGTAAATACAGTCTGACCTGTGCTTTTAAAAGTTCTGAAATCTCTGCTTGCTGGCAGCAGCCTTTGTGACTCTCTGAGGATGATGAATTGGCCTGGCTTATTCAGCAGGGGTGCTGGCTTTCACTGTTGCAGTATTTCCATTTTGGATCTCCCTGAAGGCAGGGAGAGAGCTGCATGGGCATGCTGGTTCCTCTGATGTCCTTYTCATGGCAATTCTACATGTACTGCATATAATCTGTACAGATTCTTTATGTCTTCATCTTGATAACCATGCCTGACCCTGTATGACCAAGTAAGTGCCCTCAGTGGTCTTGGAGTGTGTGAACCTCAGGATGATTTTTTGTATAAAGAGGGAGCATCTCTTTGCTTCTGTTTCCCAGGAGCTTGTGCTTCTTGCTCCATGAAAGGGTGGGTTGTTTCTTATGGACCTGTTTGAACTGCACATCCATTCTGCTGGCTCAGAGCTGGACTAGATGGAGCCAGTGTGACTGTCCGCAAAAAATAAATTYGGGGAGCAGAAACTTCTTGTTGGACCAGACCAGAGCTGGCTTTAGGTATAGGCAATGGTAACAAGGAGAGCAGCAGAACTGGCTTCAGTGTCCTGAAAGGCAGAACCGTTCCCTGCGTCCTGTCAGCACTGCCATAGAGCAGCAAGGGCAGGTGGATTTTTGCTGCCCCTGAATGAGAACAAATCGATAATTTCTTAAAACATTTGAGAGTCCTGAGGCAACTTCACAACACAGGAGACTTGGGCTGGGAGCTGCGGAGGGTGGAAACAAATCAGGGAGAGAGAGTGCACATTAGTATCTTCATTTTGGAAAAATGTGGTTGTGTTGGAGACTCTTAAGACTAATGAGCACCTGTCCAGTGCCAGCTGATGTTAGTGGAATAACTATTGACTTAATGGGTTTTGGATGATTCTTGTGTAGCTTATTGTCCAGGTACCTCTTGTAGAAGGTGAAGCACATCCTTCCTCTGTCATTAATTCTCCATTTGGATGTATTATACTGATTGCCCAAAAGTGACCGTAGGGAGATCTCGTTAGTGAGCATACTAATTACCCTTTGTGAGGAAGGGAGAAGCTCTGTAGCTCCTGTTTGGCCACAGTTTTGCTGCTCCTGGTTGGGTTTCTGAAGTTGCATTTTATTAAAGCTAGGTTGAGAATATCACYGGCTGGAGGTTGTTTGGGGGTTAAACACCACAGCATGGTGTTCATTCTGATTGTGCAGGAATATGCACACAATAAAAAAGATCTTATATGTCTTATATGTCCTAGTGTTCTTCGGGCAAATATTTTGGTCACCACTGTTTGTAAGAAACGTTGGCTACACTGCATGGAAAGCTTTATGCCCRCTGCAGCAAAGCTCCTTGTCACATCTCTGAACACAAATAGATGAGCGTTTCCCATARAAACACACGCTGGAAACATCTGCCCAGCACGCGGAATGAAAGGATTTTTCTTGATGTACGGCCTGACCCCTTCTGTTGAGGAAGTCCAGCACTCTGCTTTCCTCCGGACTTCCCCCTTCCTTCTCCCGAGCTGTCTCTTCGGCAGACTTTTCCGTAGCCGGAGTTGTGAGAACGGCCTGGACGTTGCTCTCAGCATCTGTCCTAGCAGCTGCGCCGCTTCCTGCTATGAATCATCTGGAGTGCCGCTTTTTAAGGGTGAAGGCACATTTGCTTTCCCGGAGCCACTAAGTGATCCCGGCAGTTTGGCAGCCAGGCCTTAAATGAAACCTCTGCTGTGAAAGTG